GAAGCGCTGAGTCCCCCTGGTAGACCTTGAGTGCTCAAATGTGGTTTTTCTGCTGGCAATTTCTCCATTTTTGTGGCAGTATCAAAATAATACTTCGGAACGCTATTTGTTAGACTAATTCCTAACCTTTGGAAATGTTATGATTTAGCAGCGAAGAGTCATACAAATGGAAATGTCTCTATGTTCTGTGCAGTTGATTAAGTGGAATTTTTTTATATTTCAAAGTTTTGAAAGAAGATATTTGAGACTATTTGCTTAAACAGAAAAAAATAAACTCACACAATTAGTTCTTAACAATGTCTCACGTTAAAAAAATAAAAATCCTACAAATGCAGAGACAAGTCATCCACACAATCTGTAGTGGCCTTGCTCCAGGATAACTGAGACAGCCAGTATCTTCCCTTGCATCTCTGATTCAAATGCTCGATGTATCTAAGACCTTCAGAAAGCATGAGAACGGTCCTTTGACACAGGGACCAAGACCGCAGAAAGGTGCCTGCACATATACCTCAGACCTAGTGTGTGTCAAAGGGTGGACAGACAGCAAATGGAGCTGCTCCCCTTGGGTGGGTGGACAGGGGAGGAATTATTGGCAGTGTCTCCTTCAGGAGACAAACATTAGCTCACACTCTGACCCACTAGTCAAAGGATCAGATCAGCCTTGTTTCTTTTCACAGTAAAATAATTACTAAAGGTATATTATTGAAGTCAGTAATTATTTACATAGCATTTTGTAATTTAATTACAAAATAATTATAATCTTTGTGTGAAGCCTCGCAAGTGCTTTGAACATCAAAAATGTCATGGGTGATAATATTATGACAATGATTAAAAACAGGCAGTGATTGGGTTGTTGTGAAGCTTGCTGGTCCTTGCTTTGCCACACCTATTCGTGAACAAAATCAGTGAAAAAGAACTCTGGCTGCCTCTATTAGGCGAGCAGTTTTTCAAGACCATTTAAGAGGAAGTGAGATAAGGTAAAATTCACTCATGGCATGGGGATGTTATTTAAATACAAAGGATTATATAATAAGGCCATGCATATCATAATTAAAGTAGGTGAGGGATACCAAGCTTACTCTGGTCTCTTCTGTACTGTAAAATCATGATACTGGCTTCTTAAAATAGTGCTTGCTTTTTATTGTGCAGCTGAATATGAATTAAGTTCATTACAGCAAGGTGGACCCTACTTGTCAATTACAGAACAATAAAGTATTATTCAGTCAGAAGCCTATAATGCTACTCTCGTTAAGAGTATTTAAAACGAATCACTCAAAGTTGAGGATGTTTCCTGAATCTTTGTACGACACTCAAAAACATCAAGATATCTGCTTCTGTAGCTTTCTATGAAGCAAAGTAGGGACTGTGAGCTACAAATATTTATTATTTTGTTTTATCTTATCTCCACCCTGCTTCCATAAAGGAGTTAAGGGAGACTACAAGAACTGAACAATGTAATATCATAGTCATTATTATAATTCATTAAGTTCGGGCATTTGTAATCATAGTTGGAATCATACTCTGAGGAAAGGATACCCAAGACCAAGGGAGTGAGATTATCTTGAAGTGGTGAAATCATGGCCCTTCCTTGGAATGGTTTGTAAGGATGTCATGGAATGATTTTAGAAACAAAGTTCCCTCTAAAGTGTCTTTCTGGTTGCTTTTATTACTGTGATCCCTTGGAAAAGAACATTATCAAACCTAATTATATATAACTTAACATTTTCTATTTTCTGACATTATAATTGAGTAGCTATTTTGAACTCTGTTTGTGTGTGTGTGTGTGTGATTGGTGCCCAATTACTTTTATAATGAATATTCATTATAAATCTATAGAATAATAACAACAAACATTTACTGAGGACTTCTATGCACTAGGCAGCATTAAATGCTTTTATAAATGTCATATGAGTATTATTTACATATTTCAAGATTTTTTTAAATTTTAAATATGTTTGTGGTGATCCATTTTGGAAACAAATAGCCCACTTTAAAAATGTAGATTTTTATCTACTGACTCCTTTAAGCCAGGACTTGCTGGCTTAATTCAAATTATATATGCATATACAATTTTTACCAAAAAAAAAGTTAGCTTCATATGATCAACAACAATTCAGCATATGTTGTAGGCCAATGCTGTTCTGAGCACTTTACATTAAGTATCTCATTCAATCTTCACAGTGATCCTAAGCAATAAATCTTGTACCCATATTTGGTGAGAAATAAAGCTAACTTTTAGAGAAGCAAGAAATTCGCCTGATATGTATATGAGCTGGGATTCAAAGTTGGGTCTGAACAGCCAATGCTGCTATACAAATGAGAAATTTTATTCTTTCTCACCCAAAACCATAAGAGAAGGTTTTGTGTATCCCTTTAAACAGGGGGATGAAAACTGAGGTTTCTACACAAAAACATGAACTATCTGGAAAGCATCTCAAAAAGTGACCAGAAAACTACTTGGAGGTGAAGATAAAGGTTACTGCTTTAGCTCTCCATGTCACAGAGATTGGCATCATTGGCATCATTGGCATCATCGAGGAGCAGGAGCCTAAGCAGTGATTTAATCCAAAGGGCTTCATCACCAAACCACAAAGACCATCATGACTAGGTCTCGCTTGTACAGTGCCACTATGTCTTGGGTCTTAGAAATGGCTTTAGCTATTGGGAAGAGTAATAATGACAGGAACTAGGCAATTGGCACCTCAGAACCAATGGACAAGCTCCTTTCTGAGGAGATTCTGAAGACTGACCCAGACCGCAGGCAAATAAAGTTGTGGCAGCTGTCTCCAGATATTTGTCCTTCACCCTCCAGACAGTACTCTGGGGTGTGAACACAGCCCCACACCCCAGCACAAGGTCAGGTAAATCAGGGTTCCTCCAGTTCCCTGACAGTCCACATCTAGTTCTTTCTTCCTGTTTCCTTACATGATGACAAGACGGATTTTCTGTTCTGTTCACTTCAGTGTTTATACAGAACCTCCCACCCTGGCACCACGTTACATTGCCAGTAACAATTCCTAGAACTGTTTGAGGTGGGGGAAAAAACTAGACTAACCTCAGTGTTAAACTAGTTTAAAGCAGAGCTTCATTCTTACTTTTGGCCTCAGATCAATACATGCCAGGACAATTAGCTCCTACTATCTCTTCTGTGAGTAAGCATCAATAAATAGCTAAACTATCCTGTCCTATAGTTCCATGTAATTGATATATATCAATGATTTTCCATTGATGCAGCATTTAAGAGCTGATTTTTAATGGCTTTCCGCTGAAATACACCTCAGTAAGAACACGGTGCAGATAGTGTCTTAAAAGCTATAATCAACCCATGAGATTTTTTCCTGTAGGTACTGCCAAAGAACAAATAATAAAATCTGCTTCAGCCACAGAGGGTTGGACAAATGGGAGCCCCAGAGGACCCTAAACAGAAGCAAGTTTGCACAAATCTATCCAGGCAAAGTATCATTTTGGCCCTATATAAAACAAAACAGACTCAGCACAAAATACAGAAGGGAAGACCAGAACTAACTCAACAACACCCACACCCACATCATTAACCCTCTGCTCTTTAGTCACCCTTTCCTGCATCTTTACTTGAGGCTTGCCTAAAGGAAGTAATAATTCCAGTCAAGGGAAATGGTAAGTGAAATTCTATGGTTTGCACAATTCCCCAAAAAATACCATGTGATTCATAAAAATACTGATAACAGTCATAATAAAAAGTAACATGGTTTGTCAACGAATTTTGCAATTCTCCCTCACCCCTCCCTCCTTTCCCTACTCACCCCTATGGGAGTCCATCTGCTGCAGAAAATGTGAAGGCACTAGGACCACAGAGCCCTTTCCTGCTATTTGCTTGAGAAACAAAGCCTTCCCTGCTCCCAAGTTGAAAGAAATAAAGGAGTCTGAACTAATCAAAACCTGCAAGCCTGCTGATGGAGCTTCAGCTTGTCAGTGATGCAACTCAGCGGAGTGAGTAACGGCTTCGAGCTTTGCAGAAAATAGGAGAGGGAGAGAAACAGAGACAGAAACACAAAGAGAAAGAAAGAAAGGCATTAACCTGGCCAGGAGTCAAACAGGTGCTTGGGGCCCGACCGCTAAAAAGAGTGCCTGACATGGGATTCATTGGGGGTGCCTCTGTGGGTTCACTTCACCCACCAGGCAATGCCCAAGTCTGCACGTTGGGGCTGCACTGAGATTTCTTTTTAATTATGCATAGGATCCACATGGCTGACTAAGAGCCTTCCACTTTTCTCTACTTGTCCATCTGAAGATTTCATGGACACTTTCTGGTCCCCCATGATGAATTCTCATGACAGAAAGGGGCAGCCTGGCTGCTTACCACACACACTTCCACTATGCGCCTGACTTTTGTGGGGCCTTTGGAACAGTCGAAGTGTGAGCTCTCGGGCTGCCATATGAGTGATTCACTAAATAACTCACAAGAAAGCTGCCTTGTTCCTGAGTTGGTCCCTCAAGAGGCCACATGAGGCCTTGTCAAAAGTCTTACAGGCCTCAGTGCGTTTTAAATGATGAGTATCTATTAAGGATCTTAACCTGCAGGTGCTCTCGCTTGTAAATGACTAGTTTGAACTCCTGGGCTTTCAAAGCCTATGTATGGGGAACTGGGCCATGATCTGTAATTTGCTTTAGAAGCAGATGTTAGGAAAAGAAAGGAATGAAAGCAAAAGAAGGCCTGGCATAAGACCCTCAGGAGAAGGCCCTGGTTATGAGACAGCACCCACCCAAAGGGAAACAATTCACCAGGACTAAATCTGGGTGGCATTAAATAGCGAAAATTATGCCATCTCTGGTGGATTTTCAGTCTCTAGACTTGAAATGTTCAAGGATTTGCTACAACCCATAATTCAGAAGACCTGGTTTGCCCACAGCCCACGTGACTCTAATGGAGTTTCTGTGAGCTAAGACAGCCTGATTCCACCCTGCACCCCCAGCCCCACCCCTGCATGGGAGTGGGTATTCGGTTAAAGTATGGTCTTTACCTGAAATGCGCCTGGGCACGTCGGTTATGGCAGGAAGCCCGGTGCCCCGAGTGGAGGACAGCGGGGTGGTAGAGTGGATGGACGGGGACGTCATCTGGCTCAAGTACGAGGGGTAGGACTGGTCATAGGACCACGGAGGGGAAGACTGTGTCTGCCTGGGGTCTGAAGGAAAGAAGGATAATCTTTAGTAAACATGAGGCAGTGGCCTGGAAACGTGTAGCTCAAAATTTGGAACACAGAAAACAGGGAGAAACAAAATGAGGGTGTACAAGGGCTGTTTATACTCACAACCCCACCCTTTCAGGTCCCATATAGCATAAAGCTTTCTAGACTTCGAGTCGAAAAGAAAGCAACAAAATGGATGGTGCACAAGGACTCCTCATCTCTCTCGCTCACATAAAGATTTCTATTTGGAACATCTAACAGTCACTGAGAAAACACCCTGCTTCAGTATCCCCAAGATAATGAATTACGTTTTATTTATTTTCTGTATTTTCTAATATTACTCCAATGACATGTAATACTTTTAAGTGAGAAAAAAGTATTTTGAACAATTAAGTCGATTAATGAACCCGTGAACAGCCTCTTTTTTAGACATGCATTTTGGTGTCAGACATGCATTAAGGTGCATGATTTCAGCATGCTTCACTTTCTGCCTCAGCAGGTGAGTAAGTGAGCACTTTCTAGCAAGGAGGTTTGGAGGCTGGGGGAGATGAGAAAAGAGAAAACAGCACAAGAAGAACAGGATGGAGGGGAGCTGCTTATATTATTATCATGCTAAAACTAACACAGGAAATAACCTTTAAGAAAAAAAAAACCTTAATTTCAAAGTTACCAACCATTAAGAACTGAAAAAGCTTCATGACCAGCCTATATCAATACTAAGCATTTCCAAAACTAAGAAAATGACCCAAGACAGAACAGGGCAATGTCTTCAATTCTCTTAGAATCTGTTTTTAAAAATGTCATTTATTTGAAACATGTGCTGCCTACAGTCACTGTAATAATAAAAATAGTGAGGAGTCAACAGATTAGATATCTTGTGATATATCTCCTTGAAGTTCTTGGAGGCATAAACTCAAAGTCAAGCAGATTTATCGAAAGAGTTTCAGTCTATTTTTTTTTTTAATAAGGAAAAAAAAAGTAAATTTGCTATATATTTCCAGGATGGAAAATGTGCCTTTTCAACAGTTTTAATCTTACTTGAGGGCTAACCAAACAGAATCATAGGCAAATTTAACACATGTTTTTTGCTAATTTTAAGTTTCCTGATAATTCTTTTTAAAGATTTATTTGTTTTTATGCATTACAGAACTGGGGTACAGGCCAGAAGTACAGGGGCAGTGAGAGGATTCACTAGAGACAGAGTGGAGAGCAGAACAGGCAGACTGACAAAGTACACTGCTGAGGGGAGCAGCGGGCGTGTCAGGAGAGGTCTGCTGTGCCTTGTGGGTCACTCTGGGGCAGGGATCGAACTCATGCGGAAGTGGCTTTAGCTTCTTAGTACTGTGCTTAAACCTGCTACACCACCAGTGAGGGGCTTTTTTTGATATTTTTTTAAAAATCTGGTAGGTCAAATTTTTTATAAGATTGTTCTGTAAATGAGAACACCAGTGGAATGTAGAATCTATAGCATTGGTGGAAAGTTCTGACACTTCAACTTTCTAGCTGTGTGATCTTGGATTAAGTACATAACCAGCTAACCCTCAGTTTCCTCATCTGTAAACGGTATTAATACCTGAATCACAGAAAGGTATGAATTACATGAGAAAAGTATGAAGAGATGACTAGCACAGAAAGCACGCAATAAGTATTAATTTTTGTCTTTAAAGAAAATAAAACTCTTGGTGACACATGGGTCACTCCATGGTTAAAACACATCTGAACTGGCGTGTGTACACTGGAATGGATTTATCAACCTCTGAAAACAAAAGAATGAAAAGCTTAATTTTCAAAATTTATTCATATATTTGAACAGTCAATCCAATTTAGCTCTAAAAATAAAACTGAACATAAAAATACAGATTTTCTTCAATGACTCCTCTTTTAAAGACTCAGTTTTTCTATAGTCAAAGGCAACTTGGTTTCAGCTATTTCTTGTTTATTTGTTCAATTCAGAAACTATTTAAAGACTGTCTAAATAGGACATACCTTCTTGAGTCAAAATAATTAAATACATCTGGGTATTTATCTGATGTTCACTATATCAGTAGCTATATAGCTAAAATTATCAAATTCAATTTTGAGGAATATTTATCTAAGTTGCAATTTGAATGAAAATATAGTGCTTTATAAATAGTTAGTATAAACTTTTTCTTCAGAATTCAGAAAGATAACTTTGTCATAAAAGTAATGAACTTCTATGCTTGAAATGTCATGGGCAGAGATTGTATAAATTGGCAACATTTCAAATCTGAGCAAGTGGTCCTTGTTAAATATCTGATATAAACATACTTCCTTATTTTGCCCATTATTATAACTCACTGTTCAGAGAAATAGTAAATGATCTTCAGATGGAAAAAGATGTGTCCCTTACAGCACTGGAAAGTAATCTCGCAAAGGCAAAGCCTTTTCTCAATACACAAAACAAGCATATGGCTAAATGAGTTGGATGCACAGGATTCAAACACGGCTATGAATTCTAATCTTCATTCACAGATGATCTTCTGAGCAAACAGTTTAATTTGTATGTCCGTCCCTCCACTCTAGCATGCAACTGCTATGTTATTGTTAGTATTACTAGTACTACTCAATTATTATGTGATAGGACTCCCTGCCTGCATGTGTGAAAAAGCAAAGAAATAAAAGTGACTAAAAATATTAAAGTTTAACTGTATCACAGAGGAATTAGGGAATTTATCTTGGATATAAGCAGTCCAGTCCCCAGGGCTTTCTAATAAGAGGCTCTGAGTTGGAGCCTCAGCTCTGCTGTTTGTAAGCTGGTTGACCTCAGTGTGTCAGTTCACCCTCTGAATCTGACAGTTTCCTCATCTGGAAAATGAGGCTGCACAATGCACAAAGTAAATATTACAAAGTGGTCATGCTGCTGGCTGGGCTGACAAGCCCTGACTTGACTCAGAGCTCCCACAGTGCTGAACAGTCACTTAAGCTTTGGGGGCCTCGAGAGTTTGCCTGTAAAATGGGAATAATAATACTTATTAGAGTTGTGAGCATGATATGAGCTCGGCCTTATCTGATAAGTTTTCTGGCACTCTGAGTGTCTAGTAAGTATATAATAAATAGAAGTGAGTATTGCTATCTGTGAAATGAGTAAACTAATAACCACTGTCATTTTTGCTTACAAAATTAGATAAGTAAAAATATTTTGATAACTGTGAAGTTCTATATTAAAACTATTATTATTCCTTAAAAGCTCAGTGGTGAAGGCCCTGCTATGTGGCATGATGTGTGTTTCTTAATGTTGCTCAACTATAATTTCCTCATCTGTAAAATGGGGATGCTGATACCATCTCAGAAAGCTTAAGAATTAAATAATATGCAGTGAGTAGCACATCATCACTGGTTCAAAAAACTAAACACCTGAATTAAACTATCTAAGGTGGGCAGGTTATCTAACATTCTTGATGACTTCCAGGATCTGCCTCAGCACAGTTTAGTATGAAGTCTGGCACATTATAGATGTTCAATAAGCAACACTTATTGAACCCCCCCCATCACCCACCACCCCCAGCAGAGTGGATTGAATGACTAATGAAATTTTACAATGAAATGGTAGTAAGTAAATTTGTAACTTCCCCTTAAGCTATAAAAGACGTTATATTCCTGTGATTTTAGTTTTTACATAAACTTCCTGACTGCCAGGCTATATACTAGAGCAACCTTTTAAAGAAGAGTTTTGCTTTTAGTGCAGGCCTTTCCTGAAGGTATCCAAAATTAGGGAAAATAACTTCTCACTGTCCCTAAACAAGGGGAAAAAGATGTTTTTTGTTTTTTCAGTCAGAGGACAGCTGCAGTCCACAGTCCCTTTCAAGGTCAACATTCTAAGATTCTAGGATAATGACCTACTTAATGAGAGAAACTAAAGAAAAATAAAACACAAGAACTGCCACATGGGGTTCCCCAGATCTAGTTTAAACCAATTTAAAAGGGCAGAGCAATCTTAGAAATAAAAGAAATGGTCTCCAAAGACCTAGCTCTTCTCTAGCACCCTGTGAATGAGCCAGACCTGTCCTACCACCACCATTTCAGGCCTCTGAGATGTTTTCACAAACCTATTCCTAGATGACAGAAGCCATACTTCAAGTTTCCTAATCTGTATGATGGGGTTAAATAAGAAGGCCTTCTCATAGAGGGAGGTCATTTGTTCTGCAGAGTAAATGAGATAATATACAGAGCTGAGCATATAGAAAGAAACCAGCAAATGTTTAAAAATTCTTAGCTATACCGACTCTTTGTTGATATTTATGTTTCTGGCCTGTAACCTCTTACTCTAGCAGAGGACAACTTTGAGAAAGTTTCCTGTAGTTTTTAAGCTCACAATTTAGAGAATGTATCTCTGTGAGTTGTGTCAACACTCTACTCTCATTGAACCTTGATCATGTTCCTTCTCAGTTGGTTTCTTCCTGCCAAGAAATCCTAACCTTTTCACTGCATTTTCTAGTATTGTACACTTTCAGTGGTTAAGAAATGGCTATAAAACATTTTGACTTCCTAAATGCTCAATCACCAAGAAAATATAATCCTATCATAAATATGATTACAGCATGTTTTCTTTGTTGTGGACAATTAATGCTTACAGTAGAAAAAAATGTCACCTTAACCTGATCTCATAAAAGATTTCTGAACTCAACTTCCTGAAGAAACCTGAGACTTCTGAGATTCACTCCTAACTTGGATGAGTCAGAGCAGGTGACAGATGTTTTTTAGGTATCACCATTCAATCCCAAGGTTACTAACAGGGAAGGCTGCAGGATCTAGTTCTAATACTAACCTACTCATTAACAATTAAAAACCAAGAGGTTGCCTCTCCATTTCAACCTCAGGTCCCCCAAACTATATAACTCATTCCTTCTTACCCCCTCATCCACAGTTACATCGAATGACTTCTGTCCCAGTGTTCATAAAGAGAAACCCCTTGTCCTACCACATAAGCAAGTAGATCCTGACTTGGGTGTCTCAGAGGATAGAGACATCTATCACAG